GTAATGGAGGAAAGAATAGATTCACTGGGGAACGAGATCTGGATGAAGATCTAAATAATATTATGGCGCACAGCTGGCTGAAGGTAGAGAAAATCGCCCAGAACAGATACCGGAAGAGCCGGTCTAACGTCCAGGCGGTTTATCGACTCCGCAATACCAGAGTGAAAGAGGCAGAGAAGAAATAATATCGGCGTCTATTGTGTGCCGCTTAGTAGGTGCTTTACTGTCGCGCGCAGGAGACCTGGGCTCGATTCCCGTGCGGGGAGAATTTCTGTCGAGTGTCTCGGTCTTTTCTTTGGGATAATGTGTCTTTCTCAGCTTGGATTGACCTTGACAGGCAGAGTGGAAGCCAGCCTCCTAAACGATCCAAATTATGTTGATGGGGGCGTAATAAACATCTTCATTATTTTTTAGGGAGAGGAAGTGACCGATACTGTCTCGACGTGCTCCCATGTACCCAAATAAACTCAAACAAACATTTACATTATACCATGTAACGCAAAGCCGTTTGCCCAGACACGCAGAGTTGAAGTTGTGTTGTGTAGTATAAGACAATAATAGATGCATATGGGCTTGCTGTCCTAGCCCCTAACAGCACGAACAAGATCCAAGACTATAACTCAAAATTCGAAAGACTGGCCAGTCCTTTAGCTCAGAGTATGATCATTATAGTCTAACTAGCTTTAATTTTACTTCCAATGTTCCGACGTAATTATTATAGTACTCAAAGTGGGGCATTTTGGTGACTGCAGTAAAGACGACAACAGTAAATTGCTGTGGCGCACTCAAAAACGTCTAATAAATAAATTATTTCAAAGAAAATATGGGTTCTCCACGTATCTGTGTACTATATAATTGAGTGGGTACAACAACTTTCAACCCTAAACTGCCATCAATGAGGTGGGACCTTCTATTTCACGTCTTCTTCGATAGAACAGATAAAAGAGGCCAGAGGACAAGAACCATTCCTGATCAACCATAACCCCAGAGGATGCGGTATCGAATCTGAACCTGGGCCATCCGCATCATAGTCTGACTGTACACTAACTCAGCTCATTGTTCACCTTTATTTTCTTAGTTTGAAATATATATATAAGGTCATATAATTAAGTTGTCAAGGAAGTGTTTAATTTTTGTTAAACAAAGTATAGATGTTCCAAAGTCAAAATTGACTTAATGGTTTGGATTTTGTCCACAGAAAGCAAAAATGAAACTTGGAGACATAAAGTACTTTTGTAAAGCAAGTTTATTACGTTTGTTATAAAAAGTAGAAGTACAGATCATGCTGTCTGTTCGTGTCAAAAATGTTCTCTCTCTCTCTCTCTCTCTCTCTCTCTCTCTCTCTCTCTCTCTCTCTCTTCCAATCCCTCTTTCACTTTCACACTCTTTGGTTTGCTTCGCTCTGTCAGATATATATGTTCATGTCATACATGTATTTATCACAGAGCTCTTGACAAGAAAGAAAAGTCACTACAAAATCTGAACATGTAATAGTCATATCATTCCAGATTTCTGCCACGATATTGTCAGTACCCAAACTAACGAGAAAAACATTAAATATGTGTTGAAAAAATAAAAACAACATGAGAAGCTTATCTTATGAATACATATAACTAACAGTCAATACATTTTGTACTTCGCTTCCTAGAGGAGAGTGTAAAAAGTGGATAGGCAGCACACATTAGTTGGACAATATTGGTCTCAAATGGATTCGGTTTGAGACAAAAGGACGAACATGAGATTTATACTACAGGACAGTCAGCTTGGTTCACAGATTTGAAGTATCTCGTTCTGACGCCAGCAGCTTGGAGGTTGCTTTTGATGGCGTTCAGGTTAGCAGGGGCTACCCCTCTGTCTCTGGTCAGGATCCACGCAAACTCTGGAATTTAGAAAAGGAATACATGAAGAATTTGGTAATGGTTTATGCGTAAAACGTGCACGGTTTTGTCTATTTTCCTCCAAGCAAAATGTAACAACATGTACTTTACAGTATTACTGCAAGACTGCATGTAGTTTAATGGTTTGATTTCACAGAGACTCTGAGTTAACCTTGCTATTTCAAGACGGATGCAGATCACAAGAGACTTGTAAAAGTGTTTTGATGAACGACCCGGAGTGGTAAAATCCCTTACTACAGTGAAAATAGAAACAGTTTAAACCCATGCCAAGATGCTTTTGAGTGTGGAAAGAGTTCACTGCTTCCTACTCCATATAACAACAGCTATTATCTTAATTAAAAGGCCTATACTGGTTGGGAAGGAGTATAAAATCAAAATCTTTAACAAACAAGCAGTTGTAGACTTACGGATATTCACAGGCAGTCCAGGTAGGTCGAAACAAGAGAAGACAACCGCGTAGTTGTCGTAGTCCGTCTCCACGATGTAGTAGTTGGGCTCATTGCCACCAATACCGTCAACTGGAACAGTTCAGGGGGAAACTTTATAATACACACTATGGTATGATTGTAATAATGGTACAAGCTTAGGGCTACTAAAAATTTTATACGGTCATTAAAGAGGGAAGATATCCGAAACAAATGTATCTCTCTCTCAGAAGAGAGCCAAAAGTGTGGAGGGCTTTGAAAATTCTCCAAACTTTCCAAGTTCAAGAAGGCCCAACTAGAGATTTGAACCAAAGTCATCAACTTCAAAGTCTTGCATGATGCTAACTGATTTATGTCCACTTTCGTATGAAGTCCTCCCTCGTAATAAATATCTATTGACACTGCTTACAAAACACACAAACAATGGGAAAAGAACATTATGGATCCTGTTGTTAAGATTTTTGCAGAAATTCCATACCTACTTTTCAGTAACAGATAATGCTATCATGACTTTGGCCTAAGAGTTTATTCATATTCCATAAATCATTTTGATACACCATAATACGTTGGTATGATACTGAATTTTTTGACTAATCAACTTTTCCAAGTTTCCATAACAGCATTTGGAAAAGGAGACAATAACTGCCTAGTGAATCTCCGACAGAGAAGGTGAGGAGAAAACTTACTTTGTGAGAAGGACACTTTGAGCTCGGCGGGGGAAGCAGGGTCCGGTGTGGTAGCGTCACCGTTGATGGAGGCCGGCCGGCTGAAGATAGTACGTCCGAACCTGGTGGGGTGGGACAGAGGGGACTGGTGAGTTTGTTCTTCCTTAACCTCACTAAGTGGGAGTAATGTGTGTTCAGGTGTTTCTACGTATGTAGTAATTGTACATGTGCTTGCGTTGGAATTGACAATACTGTATTGGTATATTAATGACCGAGAAAAAAACAATCTGGCAATAGGACAAATGTTGTGTCTACTTAGAGACGTACATTCTTTTTCTTAGTTCAAGTGCCAAAACTGACACACACACACATCCGTAATTATGGTTCGCAACTTATTTCACTTCTCGGATGCTCTTTTAAAAATAATAACCCATAATGCCCAGGTAAACCCCCTTCACCTGTCTGTTCAGTTTCTTAAGAGAAGCTTTCCTAGGTCAACCTCGGCCTATATCATTATTTCTTAAAATTTACTCCTTACAATTTGTCCGTAATGTCAAACTTAGGTGACCTCCAAAGTAATCCATCTTTTTTCCCAATCTACAATAATGTATTCTATATACTATACTCACAGCTTAAAGGTCCTGGTGCCGGCGTTGAGAACACTGATGGTCTGGTCAGGGTTCAGGCCGTACTCGGCTCTCACACAGTCCATGCCCGCCTCGAACCAGTTGTCGAAGCGCTCGTACTCGTGCCAGGTACCCAGGTACTGGAGGGGAAGAGGGGAAAAAGGAGAGGGGGGTGGTTAATGTAAAGTATGTGAGGGAAGTGAGTCAAAAGGTGGTGGTGGTGAGTGTTGGAAGGTGGGTGTAGGACAAAGACGAAAGATGATGGGTGATCATACAAGGATTGAGGTAATTTGCTGAGAGTAGGCTACGCTTATTGTATGGCAATGGTGCTATTATACTGTAAGTGTGACTGTTATTGTATGTGGTGCAGCTGATTTTTAAATGTCTTGTTAACGATTATGATTGGGTTGTTGATGATGAAGAGACGAGGATGATGATGATGAGAGACAGGGGAAAAAAAAAAGAAAAGAACAGAGACAGGTAGAGAAGTTGTTGAAATGTATTGTTTATCTAACGTTATCTATCTTGTTTATCTTCAAGAAAGACTACTACCTTTCCCTAGGAACAGATTTGCATAAATAATACTAAAATTATTAATATAAGCATTGTACCATTATAAAGGTACAGACAGAGCAGACCACATTAAGTTCCCTGCAACCAGAGACAAAACTGATGTTATAATAGACAGACAATTGCACATACTCCACACAGAACAAAACCATGACACATATTATTATGTTGCTGGTTGCCACATACCCGACTGGGGTCAAAAGCAGCCTGAGTCCCCGTAGCAGGACATCTTCCCGGACGGAGGACGACCCCTTGGGCTGCTGCAGACGACAGAAGAGTGGAGAGTAGCACCAGCACTGCAGACGACACGGCGCTTGTCAGTTTCCAGGAAGACATCGTGGGGAAGATTTACTTGGAGCTAGACACGAGAACAATGTGCTCAGAGGTAATTCTTTCTTCTTGGGTTGTTGTAGTTGCTTTCGTGAAGAGTGGAGACGGTCTGGTAAAATGAGAAGGGTTGTTCTGTTTCTGAGTTGTTTCTGCTTGATCACCAGAAGTCGGAGATGCTGTGTTTGTGGAGTCGCCGAGTTTATATAGTGCTCTGGACGTGATGACGTTTGCCGCAATTTACGTAAAAGTCGCGCCACTGTTTTTGGACCAGCGTAGAAATTCTTAAACCAAAGAGAATCTTTGCTTGAACTGTGTCCGCTGTTCATTCACCAAAGTTCTAAAAATAGCAGGATCTCTCAAAACCCTAGGTATGCGCCTTGGTAGCGATGACCGATGTGACGTCACCACCGTGCTCGGGGCGTCACAACAGGTAGCAAAGGTCACAATATGTCATAATTTACCTCTCAGCTGCTACGTTTCAGGAGGGGGGGGGGGGTTATTTTTCTTGTCTTCGTTGAGAAACTGTTCTCTTTTCCTGTCGTATAGTTCCAGTTTACTTTTGCGCCTCCCCCCTTCTCTCCCCACCCCCTTTCTCTCTCCACCCCCTTTCTCTCTCTCTCACTCAGTCTGTCTCTGTCTGTCTGTCTGTCTGTCTGCCTGTCTGTCTGTCTGTCTCTGTCTCTGTCTCTCTCTTTCTCTCTCTCCCTCTCTTTCTCTCTCCCCCCCCTCTCTCTCTCTCTCTCTCTCTCTTTCTTTTTCCCCACCCTCTCTCTCTTTCTTTCTTCCTCCACCCTCTCTCTCGCATTTGATTTTGTTAATTTGATCTGAGACTTTCGAGAGACAGATTATGTATGTGGGGAAGGGAGAGGAGGGGGGGGAGTGATGTTTGTGTATGTGTGTCTATGTGTTTGTGTGTGTGTATTTGTGTGTGTGTGTGTGTTTGTGTGTGTGTGTGTGAATGTGTGCGTTTGTCTGTGCGTTCGCGCGTGTGTGCATGTGTTTGTACGTGCGTGTGTTTGAAAGTGTGAGTGTATGTGTGTGTTTGAAGGTGTAGTGTATTTTTTTGTGTGAGTTTGTGTGTGTGTGAGTGTGTGTATGTGTGTGTATATGTATGTGTGTGTGTGTGTGTGTGTGTGTGT